AAAGAAAGAAAGAAAGAAAGAAAGAAAGAAAGAAAGAAAGAAAGAAAGAAAGAAAGAAAGAAAGAAAGAAAGAAAGAAAGAAAGATATAAGAAAAAGAATAGGGATTTAAAATCTTTTTTCTTTAAAGAGACACACATTTTTATTTTCTTTTAGAGCAGACACAGACCTGTCTTAAAGATATTTAAATTATTTCTATTACTAAGTTCATAATTTTGAGAAGGATACTATACTCTCAGAAGACTAAGTAATGTAACAAGCTAATACTGTAAAAAAAGGTGTGTGTTTTTTTTTTCTTCTTCTAAATACATATACTTAAGGACTTGAAATCAAGATAATGTTTGAGCTAAGGAAAGCTAGTGATACATGGGGAGCAGCCCCATGGAAAAGCTGCGTCTTTGAAGGCTCCAGTACAGAGCTGGGAAGTGTTGGGATGAGCCAGAGCAGATGGAGTTCAGGCTGAACTGCAAAAGGAGTGAGATCAGAACCAGTCAGTCAAGGAACACCTCTACGTGTGATGGTCAGGAAGGAAGCACAAGACTGATGCTACACATGAGGCAGCCCACCAGGCAGAAGGCAAAACAGCAAAGGGAATGACCAAGGCCAGAAGATGTAGTTAATTTGCAGGGAAACAGCACAAAACGCTTTGACTAAATGCTGAGAGAAAGAGGTCAGAAAAGGACAGAAAAGCACAGTGGCACTTGAACCAGGGGAGGTGACTGCTGCAGACACCTGTGCATGCAGAACAGAAATAACTAGGAACAGACTGATGACAGGTGAAGCCCTGAATGAAGGAAGCTGAGCAGGCAAAATGTGATCAGTGATTCCTCTTAGCTCTTTGAATGGCAGGAGTTTAGTGCTAAAGGACCTAGAATCAGCTCAGCACACATGAAAGCCAAAACTAAATACAATTATAATACAAAAACATCTCAGCCTTGCAGTACCTTAAGGGGACCTACAAGAAAACTGGTGAGGGACTTTTTTAAAGGCCATGTAGTGATTGAACAAGGGGAAGTGGGTTTAAACTAAGAGTAGTTTAGATTAGATCTCAGAAGGAAATTTTTTTACAGTGAGGGTGGTGAGGCACTAGAACAGGTTGCCCAGAAAAGCTGTGGATGCCCCATCCCTGGAAGTGTTCAACACCAGATTGGATGGAGCTCTGAGCAACCTTGTCCAGTGAAAAGTGTCCCTGCCCTGGCAGGTGGGTTGGAACTGGATGACCCTTCATGTCCCTTCCAACCTAGGCCATTCTATGATTCTGTGGTTCTAGATTCATCCTCTGTGAACCTTTATCATGTAGTGACATCACAGGGCTTACTCCTTCTGTAAAAAAAATGAGGCTGAAATAATATTCACCCAGGCTGGTGCCCTTAACACAGGAGCGTTTCTGGAATGCTTGAAGCTGGGCCAGAACCCATCAGCTGCCCCAATCAGCCCTGGACAGAAACCTGGCAAAGACATACATTGAAAACACAACTGCCTGAACTCCCTCGGCTTCCCTCTGTGAATGCCTGGACATTAAAACACCAATGCCTAATACATTGGATTTAGGAGATTCCCCAGAGACTAAAGAGAAATATTTTGAAATCATAACGATGGAACAACAAGCAGGTAATTTCTAAGAGCTCTCTGACAGCTGATTAACTCCTGCTTTTACAATAGAAAGTGATATTGTGCTGCCCTCTGGTGAATCTCTCCATTCGGGGACTGGGGTTTGTGGCTCTTACAAGTGTACTTCAGAGCTCGGTGCAAACTCTGCTGCTGCAGATGAGTTCACATGGAACCTTTCATCTGTCAGGCTCAAAACAGTCCTACCTGCACCCTTGGAGTCTGTCAGACTCAAACAGTTCAACCTTGTAGACAGACACTGCTGAGACAGAATAGTGGTCAATGGAACTTTATGGAGTTTTAAAAATTATTTTCCTGTGTGAAAACCCTTTGAAAATGAAGATTTCTTCCACTAAACCCTTTCCACAGAAATCTCCACACAGGTTGTTGGGGATGCTGAACTCTATAAGAGAACAACAGGGAAAGGCCTGGAACTCATGGGTAAGAAACCTGGTTATTTCATCTATGGCAAAATTTAAACAATAATCTGCATTAACATTTCAAAGTCAATACCAGTTCAGAAAATTAATCTTTACACTGTATTGGATAAAATTTCTTCTTCTTGTGGGAACTTCTTGCTTTTTAGACATCAATATTTGCCATTATTGAAATCCGTATGATAAATGATGCCTGTAACCATTCCTCAAAATTGCACTTAAATGCCCAATTATATTTGTGGTTTCAGAATGACAGATATTTTGTTGCATAACCCACACTTTTATGGTGAATAATGTGTTATTTTTGCTTGTGGCTGTTGCCGGGATAAAACAGAGCTGAGGCAGTTCAGCCTGACATGATGATGAGGAGAATTCAATTTTGGTTCCAAAAAAACCTGTATCTGCAGTGAAGCAGATACACAGGCTGCAACTCTGGGGAGCACATGAAGCACAGATTTTAAGTGGTGGGGAAGCTGCTGCAAAAGTCTGGAGTGAGACCTGAACACCTTTGATGACTAGCATCCAAAAGACCCAGCACACTTCAAGTCCAGGATCTGGCCAGGATTTTCTGAGCAAGGTCCTGCCTGAGTTTATGGTGGCACGTGTAAAGGATGCGCTTGTGACAGGCAGATGCCATGCTCCAATGTCCCAGCAGGAGATGGCAGCGTGTCCCTCTCCCACCACCTTCCCTTGGCTTCTGGGCTTAGAGCAGTTTCATTCATGTCCTGCTGCAAACAACGCTCAGCCCACGCCTTCCAGAGGGAAAAGAGTGGGAAATGTCAACAGCTTCACCTCTCTGGGTTTCTTAATGAATTATAGATGGAGCGTAGGCAAGAGACGAAATTGTTCTGACAACTGAGCGACTTTGAATGTGAGAAGCCAAACGCGACAGGACAGGAGAGGCTCAGGGAGGCTGTGGGGACTGTGGCTCCTGTCCGGGGCTGTCAGGCTGTGCTGGGCTAACAGGGACACTGCACTGCCCAGGTGCTGCATGTGCTCACCCCGAGCTCTGTTACAGGACTCCCGTGTGAACTGCTCAGTCTCCTGCTGCTCTCTCCCCCTGTCACCTCTCCTGCTCCCAGTGCTCATCCACTGTTAAACTGCAAACCACATCAGCGACATGGGATGGCTCAGAAGATCCCCTCCACCCCCGGAACAGGCCTGGCAAGGAGCAGGGAGAGTGGGAAAGAAAGTTGGAATTTTTATATGAGATTTTTATTACTCTGGTAGCAATCCCCTAGAGAGCTGTATCAAACCAGAAAATGAGGAAGTACAAGATATGTAGACCCACAAACTGAGACAGGAGCTGAGAAGTATGAAGTAAATGTCCTCTTGTCGACATCCAGCTGCCAATTCTGTCATTCAGCCACAAAACCAGACCAGACCTGGGCTGCAACAAACAGGCAGCAGCAGAAATTGTCCTGCACATGTGACTAACACCTCTCAGTGTAAGAGCCTTTCATCTTCTGTCCTCCAAATCCTGAAAATACACTTTCTCTATGAAAACAGCACCCTACAGGAGACCTGAGCACTAACTTTACTCCTGCTCCCTCTGCAACTGAAATTCCCTCTGCAACTCAGACCAAGCTTAGGCACCAGGACGCAGAGTGTATCTCCAAGGGCCCAAAGACTGAGCACACCTCTTGTATGTGACACGTTCAAGGACATCCTAAAGAAAGCATCTGAAGGCAGGCAATCCACAAATCCTGTACCCACAACAGCTCACACCAACTACACACCTCATTTAGAGAAGGAGGAGGACATGGCAGATGCACTTTGCTCAATCCATAACCATTTCCATGTCAGGACTGTTCTCTTCATGCAAATACTATGGTGCTGGCAGGAAAATGCTGTTTGTGCTTCTGAAACAACTCTTAAGTGTAGCACTATGCTGACCTGTGTTAAAATGAAATCAAAGTACCCTTC